AATCACTTAAGAAAGAAATCGTTTACTGTGTCTCGGATCGATCTGAGGCTAGCTCTGTCAGCGGAAAGCGCGGCAACTTCTGATGACAGTGGTTGTCTCACCGCTCTTCGCAACGTAGCACCACGCTGGATACATTCTTCGCAACCGCAGAGCATGACGTCTTTGACGTTATCTTGTTTCGTGTGATTTATTAAAAAGGTCTCAGGCACTACTGTTACTACTGGTGAGAGCAGATGGCGCCATAAGGAAGCAGCTTTATGCATCCTATCATTTCCTAGAGACATTGTGACCCAATGGTGACATAGAGGTAAAAGGGTGCCACTAAAACACTTGACCACCTGCAGCCTTCAGCCATCAAGATATCCGAAATTTTGCGTCGTTCTGCTTTAGGACATAATTGTGAGAGGCCAAGGGTGGATTTTACCGTTGCGACGGCGTGTCAGAACAGAACGATGTCCTCCCTGGCCCGAATCGATAATATTCGATTAGGTGGGGTTGTAATCTCGATTATAAGGCATCATATTTCTAAATAATAAAGTCATGCCAAACAGCGAACGGAGGAAAATCGATCAGCCCATGACCAACACTTACAGCCGCAACTTTAAATTGCTGATCGATAAAGTCAGTTTACGCTTCGACAAAGGACAGCCGACCGAGCTGTCCGAAACGTCAGCGAACAAACTCATTCCGGTAAGCAAAACATGATCTGTGATTCTAATCCGGGAATTCTTAATTTTTCAAACATCTGCGCGGATTTTCCCACCGTCTTTCGAAACTCTTACAAATTCAAATATATTTACTGAAAACTTGCGTAAAAATACCCTTTCTTGTAATCATCCTGTGATAAAATATGGCCTGTTAAATGTGTCTACTGGAAAAAGGAACTCTTGGTGTTAAAAAAAACCGTTGCGATTTTAAGCTTTATGAGACCGTGAAATGTCTGTCTAAGTAGCATCGTGTATCACTCCGTTCACTAATGCTTCTTATATAGTATACAACGTTGGCCATATCCATTACAATGTTTTCTGGCTGTTATGGGATATTTTATGAATAACACAGACCGCTTATTTTTTCTTAAAAATGCGTGTTGTGCTGTTTGTAGTTTGTAGACAGCAAGCGTTAATGCAACGGTAGGTCGGGTTCAAACCGTTTCGGAAAAATGAAAAAATGAACTTTACTTAACCTAGAAACTACCTAATACTCTAGTAGAAAATTCGAAGAAGATCTTAGTTACCACAAAAAGCGTATAAAAACATGTTTTAGCGCATTTTTTTCTATAAAGTATGTCAGAAAAGAATGGAAAATGTACACACTACTGAAGTGGTCAGTTATTAGCGAATGTGATTTCTGCGGGAGGTTAGCCGGCTGCCCTACAGGACACGCGTTCCGTGGACGGCATTCGTTATGAGTGGAATTTTTCGCATCTTACCGGTGCTAATTACCATGGCAACCACACACAACTAATCCTTTCTAACTAATATTATATTGTCAGAATTGCGGTTACTATTCACGGAATAGGTCTTCTCACGTTTGCTAACTCCTACCTTACGCCTGCATTGCCTCTTAAACTGCTGTGCTTTCCTCCTCTAGGCTGCTTTATAGCCAACTTCGTGCTCGGGGGACTCGCCAAGTCCTACGGCATCATCATGGAGGCCTTTCAGGACGAATTCGACGCCCCATCAGTCTACTTCACGCTGACCGGTGGCATCCTCTACATGATAATGTTCGTGCTATGTAAGTCAGAGTGTGGTTTCTTGCTGTGTTTTGCAGTTACCTCAGCTGTACTCGCTCCCAAGGCAAGTAAAGTTACAGGATGCGCTTAGCGCCGTGGCTTGGAGGGCTGCCAAATGAGGGTTGCACGCAAACCTCACAGTCAGTCCAAGGTGTGTATTTGTGTGGAATGGCCGATTGGTGGGGTCCGAGTGTCAGGCTGCGATGCCTCCTTGTGAACGCGACCTCTGACACATTCTCTCTTTCAGGTGCTCTGAACACTAAAAAGTCGACTTGCGAGGATGATTTGCAGCAGAGAGATACTGTGCAGCACCATTGTGTGAATTCCGGGTGTTTGTG